CTGGAGTCGGCGGTGCTGCTGGGGTCGGCGACGCTGTTGGCGGAGTCTGTGGTGCTGCTGGGGTCGGGGGTACTGGTGGGGTCGGCGGCGCCGCTGAAATCGGTAACGCTCGAGTCAGCGGCGCTGCTGCCGACGTCAGGGGTGCTGTTGGAGTCGGTGATTCTGATGGGCTCTGTGGTGCTGCTGGAGTCGGTGGTGCTGCTGGAGTCGGTGGCTCTGATGCCAGAGTCGGCGGTGCTGCTGGAGTCGGTGGTGCTGCTAGGGTCGGTGGTGCTGCTGGAGGCGGTGACGCTGGAGTCGGTAGCGCTGATACCAGAGTCTTTGGTGTTGGTTTGAGTGGTGCTGCTGGGGTCGGAGGTGCTGCTGGGGTCGGTGTTGCTGTTAGAGTCGGTGGCGCTGCTGCTGGAATCGACGGCGCTGCTGTTGTTGGGGTCGGTAGCGCTTCTGCTTGAGTCTGTGGTACTGCTGGGCTCGGTGGTCTTGTTGAAGTCGGCGGTGCTGCTGGAGTCGGCGTCGCGGAATCGGCGGTGCTACTAGAGTCGGTGGTGCTGCTGGGGTCGGTGGTGCAGCTGGGGTCGGCGGCGCTTCTGCCGGAGTCGGTGGTGCTGCTTGAGTCTGTGGTGCTGCCGGGCTCGGTGGTACTGCTGCAATCGGTGGTGCTACTAGAGTCAGCGGCGCTGATGCTGGAGTCGGCGGTGCTACTGGAGTCGGCGGTGCTGCCTCGTACAAGTCGCTGTTGTGGCTGGCGTGGTTGTCGTGGTAGCCGCCGTGGTGTGCTTCCTCGTTCACGTCGCTGTCGTGGGTGTCGTGGTTTTCGTGGTAGCCGCCGTGGCGTGCGTCCTCGTAAAAGTCGCTGTTTGCGGTAGTCGTGGTTGCCGTGGTGTCCGCCGTGGTGTGCTTAATGTTGAGAGTCGCTGCAATTGCTGTTGTGGTTGCTGTGCTGGCCGCCGTGGTGTGCTTGCTTGTAGGAGGTGCTGTTGTGGCTGTCGTGGCTGTCGTGGCAGCCGCCGTGGCGTGCGTCCTCGAGGGCTTCGCTGTGGCGGTAATCGTGGTTGCCGTGGTGCCCGCCGTGGTGTGCTTAATGTTGAGTCGCTACCGTGGCTGTTGTGGTTGCTGTGGTGGCCGCCGTGGTGTGCTTGCTTGTAAGAGCTGCCGTCGTGGCTGTTGTGGCTGTCGTGGTTTGCCACCGTGGCGTGCGTCCTCGTGAATGTCGCTGTGGAAAAAGTGGTAGTTGCCGTGGTGGCCACCGTGGTGCGCTTGCACGTGAGAGTCGCTGCGGTGGCTGCCGTGTATATCGTGGTGGCCTCTGTGGCGTGGTTGCTCGGAAGAGGTGCTGTCGTGACTGTTGTGGTGGCCGCCGTGATGTGCTTGCTCGTGGGAAGTGCTGTCGTGGCAATCGTGGTGGTCGCCTTGAACTGCTTGCTCGTGAGAGTCGTTGTTGTTGCTGTCGAGGCTGTCGTGGTAGCCGCTGTTGTGCGCTTCCTCGTAAAAGTTTAGATTGTGGTAGTCGTGGTTGCCGTGGTGGCCGCCGTGCTGTGCTTGCTCGTGAGTCGGTACCGTTGCTGCCGTGTTTGTCGTGGTGGCCGCTGTAGCGTGCTTGCTTGTAAGAGGTGCTGTCGTGGCTGTCGTGGTAGCCGCCGTGGCGTGCGTCCTCGTGAAAGTCGCTGTGGCAGTAGCCGAATTTGCCGTGTTGGCCGGCGTAGTCTTGCACGTGAGAGTCGCTGCGGTGGCTGTCGTGGTTGTCGTGGTGGCCTACGTGGCGTGATTGCTCGTAAGAGGTGCTGTCGTGACTGTCGTGGTGGCCGCCGTGGTGTGTTTGCTCTTGGGCGGTGCTGTCGTGGTTGTTGTGGTGGTCGCCTTGAAGTGTTTGCTCGTGAGAGTCGCTGCCGTGGCTGTCGTATTTGTCGTGGCAGTCGCCTTGGTGCGCTTCCTCGTACAAGTTGCTGTTGTGGGTGTCGTGGTTGTCGTGGTAGCCGCCGTGGTGTGCTTCTTCGTGCAAGTCGCGGTTGTGGCTATTGTGATAGCTGCGGTGCCGTGCGTCCTCGTAAATGTCGATGTTGCGGTAGTCGTGGTTGCCGTGGTGGCCGCCGAGGTCTGTTTGCTCGCAAGAGTCGCTGCCGTTGTTGTTGTGGCTGTCGTGGTGGCCGCCGTGGCGTGCTTGCTTGTAAGAGGTGTTGTCGTGGCTGTCGTGGCAGCCACCGTGGCGTGCGTCCTCGTGAATGTCGCTGTGGAAAAGTCGTAGTTGCCGTGGTGGCCGCCGTGGTGTGCTTGCTCATAGGAGTCGCTGCGGTGGCTGCCGTGTATATCGTGGTGGCCTCCGTGGCGTGATTGCTCGTAGAAGGTGCTGTCGTGACTGACGGTGTGGCCACCGTGGTGTGCTTGCGCGTGGGAGGTGCTGCCGTGGTTGCCGTGGTGGCCGCCGTGGTGTGCTTGCTCGTGAAAAATTCTGTCGTGGCTGTCGTGGCTGTCGTGGTAGCCGCCGTGATGTCCTTCCTCGTGCAAGTCGCTGTTGTGGTAGTCGTGATTGCCGTGGATGCTGCCGTGGTGTGCTTGCTCGTGAGAGTCGCTGCCATGGCTGTTGTGGCTGTCGTGGTGGCCACCCACCAGCCGTCAACCGCTCGCAGCTCCAGAATTATCCACAAGACCCTCGGTGAGGGCGGCCACAAGCCACGTCAGAAAGTGGAAGAGGCGGAGGAGGATGGATGGGTGGAGGGGGAGTAGACGGCATCCATTGCGAGCGTTCGCTGCGTCCGCTGCAGCCCGTTGTTGACCGAGCACTTTGATGTTGTGACGCATGTTCCAGCGCAGCGGCGCCCGAAAGGAACAGCGGCTGAGTGTAGCCCCGCTCCTCGGTCCTCGCCCATACTCCTCGCCGCGGTGGTAGGCCCTTGAGGCACGTGGCCACCGTGGCAGACCATGGAATTGGCATCTCTCAATTGTTATGCGTGTACGCGAGGCGTTCTGCCATCAGTCTTGATGCCCGAGACATCGAAAGGAGGAAACATGGAGGATTGAAGGAAGGAGGGGAGGAGGAGATGGCATTCATTTCGGGCGTTCGCTTGCTTCCTTTGCAATATGTTGTGGGCGAGCACGTTGATGTTGTGGAGTATGTTCCAGCGCAGCGGCTGAGTGTAGCTCCGCTCCTCATTCCATCCGCCTCCATGCTCCTTTGGTGTGGTGGCCCTTGGGCACGTGGCCACCGGGACAGACCATGGAGTCGGCATCTCTCAGATGTCTTGCCCGTATGGGAGGCCACTTCTTTCTGCCATCAGTCTTGGTTCTCGAAACGTAGGGAAGGGTAAGACTGGTTGAGGAGGAGAAGGGAGGAAGAGGAGGAGGAGGAGGAGGAGGAGACGGCAATCATTGCGAGCGCTCGGTCGCTTCCTCTGCAACCTGCTGTGGACCGGGCCGTAGTGGTGGGCACTCGAGGCACGTGGCCACTAGGGCAAACAATGTAGTCGGCATCTCTCAATTGATTTCGTGTACGGGAGGCCGTTTCTTTCTGGCACCTGTCGTAGTGCCCGAGGTGTAGTGGGGGAGGTATGGAGGTGGTGGTGGATACGGAGGTGGTGGAGGAGGACATGCGAGTCGACCGCTGCGAGCGTGTTTTCCGCCAGAGCTAAGCTTCAAGCACGCTGCCAGTGGTCATGGCAGTCCAAGAATTGCCGCATTTAATTGTTCGAACAATTATGTTTCTTCCAAGCTCGCACTATACAGCACTTGCAGTTTAGCGCCACTTCAGCGAAACATTGTATCGTAGGCTCTGGAGCTTACCCTCGGTGATGGTCCTTGTGTATTGGGTGGGTGGATGGTGGTGGATACGGCGGTGGTGGAGGCGTGCGAGTTGACCGCTGCGAGCGTGTTTTTCGCCAGAGCTATGCTTCAAGCATGTCGCCAGGGACCATAGCAGCCCAAGAACTGCAGCATTTAGCTTTGGTGTCACTATGTTTCCTCCAAGTTCGCACTATTCAAGTACTTGCAGCAAGATGAAAAGAAGAGGAGGATCTGGAGTGAGGAGCTGCACGCACACGTGGCACCCTCATGCGACAAGCTACGGATATCATTCCGTGTTTGCTGGGCCGCCAGTAGTAGTATTTCAGACTTTTCCGTGTGATTGTGCCTTGAGTTCTGGAAGGCGCGTGACACCGATATCTTCAAACCTGTAGAAGGATGCGGAGATACGGATCCTTGGATTTTGGAGATGGCGGAATTACGCCAGCAAGACCCCCGGCGAGGGCAGACTTTTGCATCTTCTGCTGTATGCCAGGGCCCACATTCAAGTTGCATCTCTGGCGTTGGCCGTCCGAGCGTGTCGATCGTTGCGAGCGCGTTGACCGCCACGGCCCTCGGCGAAGGCAGCCAGGCTGAGGAGGGATCTTTCACGTCAGTCATTCTTGGCGGCACCTATCAACGAACAGCTAGCGCATGTATATCTTTGCAATTCAAACGCACTTTAGGGCATCAGGCCAGAAACCAATTCAGTAAGATGAGTGCCACAATTCTGATCGCTTACTAACTGCCCTCAGAGAAACCACGAGCTGCTGTCGATGAGGGCCCTTACCATGGGAGGGATCGGGGGTATGTGGGATTGATCTTGGGGAGCGGTGGGAGGGGAATACCTTGCTGACACCTGCAAATCTAATACTTTATGCCCTCTCGGGTTTCTCTACTTTCCAGTGCCTCCTCGCACCTCCTGCCCCGCTGAGTCTGCATTCAGGTGGTTTTAGTGGCTGCCGCACACGAACGCTACAGGCCTGCACCTAGTGCCTAGCGCCCGCTCAACGCAGAGAAGAGGAGGAGGAGGAGGAGGCAGGAGGACTAACATTTAGGAGGGGGGGGCGAGGAGGGAGGGAGGGAGAGACGGGAGGGACGGGAGGGAGGGACGGGGTGGAGGTGAAGCTACGTGGTGGAGGCTGGGGGAACCGGGGTAGGTGGAGGATGGGGGGACGCAGGGACGCGGGGAACCGGCAGGAGAGATCGAGAGAGAGCTCCGGGCGGGCCTCCGACAGCGCGGCCCCTGGAGGCGTTCCGCCCGCCTCCGCGGCCGGCAGGGGCGGCAGCAGGCCCGCCTCCACGGCGAGCAGGCGCTGGCGCAGCCGCGCAGCGGCGGCCTCCGCCGGCGGGCCGCGGCCGGCCGCCAGCCGCGCCAGCGCGCCCATCAGCCCGGCGACCTCCACCTCCGTGCCGCCGAGCTCTGCGGCGGGGAAGCGCCTGGGCCACTGCACGCGGGAGACGTCTCTGGCGAGCCAGGTGGGGTCCCCCGCGCGCTGGTTCGCCTCGCCGTCGGGCCGCAGCTCGGCGACCTCCCGGCACCGCCTCCGGGCGCGGGGGTCCACGATCCTGTCCAGGAAGGCGAGCGGCAAGGCCCAGCCTCCCTCTTCGTACTTGCCCCTCTCGCGCTCCTGGGCCTCCCAGACGGGGTAGAACCAGTCGTCGTACTCTGGGCTGGTCACGTCCAGGCTGGGCAGGTACCGGGCCTCGCCGCAGAGGTTGGGGCAGCCGCCGTGCCAGACCCGGACGTCCCGCACGAGCGCATCCCCCGCCTCCAGCGGGAAGATCCGGGAGGCGAGCCAGTCGGGACGATCGCGGAGCTCCCCCAGCAGTTCAGGGGGCCGTTGCGACTCTGGCGTGGCGTAGGACAGCATGTCGCCCCAGGTGACGATGCGCATGGGGCCGTTCCAGCGCGTGAGCGGCTGCACCGCGAAGTTCACCGAGATGGCTGGCGGACGGCCGCGGTCGTGGATGGGCGCGGGGGTGGTGTACGGCCTGGAGCCGAACCACCCGTACACCTTTGTGCCGTCAGGCCCCTCCTCCGGCGGGGGCGGGCCGTACAGCGGGCACGCGTCCGCCATGTCGCTGTGGAGCTTCTGGAAGTGCTCCACCCACCCGCAGCAGAAGTCCCCCGACGCCCGGCCGATGTAGTACGGCTCCGAAGGCGCCCCCGCGCGGCAGCCCCCAGCCTCCGGGACCGGCAGCCTGCGGTGGGCCGACTGCTCGTATATGGCGTCCAGCACGTCCAGCACGAGCTTATTGTCTACGAGGTGCTGGACGAACGGCCAAAGATGCATGCACTGCCCCGACCCGGTGCAGTTGTTAATCGAGTAGCGCCCGGGGTTACGATTCCCGAACCCGAACGGGTCGTTCTGCTCCACAGCCTTGTGGACGTCCCTGCAAGCACACAACACCTCGTCGGCGGCGGGGGCACTGAGGGCGCGGCGCAGGACCACGAAGCCGTGCTCGAGGAAGATGGACGCAGCCTCCTGGGCGGCCACGCCCCCTGGGGCCGAGGCGTCCACGCAAAGCCACCCGGGCAACTGCCGCGTCGCGCCCGTCCCGCCGTGTCCCTCTAGCGAGGCAGGGCCGGCGCCCAGGGCCCCACCGCACCGGCCCAGCGTGCTGGCTGCTGGGAAGCAGACCGCGAAGGCGGAGCTGTCCAACGGCTCCAGGGACCACTGCTGGTGCTCGCAGCGCCCCCAGTCGTGCTCGCGCCCGCTCGTCGCCGCGCACTTGGCGCAGCAGTGCGTCGGGTGCCAGCTGATGCGATAGCCGCACCCTCCCTCGCAGCAGCCGGGTTTCGGAGCGCCGCCCCGCGCTGCTGACATCCTGGCAACCTGCCATGGGTGGAGGAGGGAAGGACGGGGGCACGGGGGAAGGGAGGGACGGGGAAGGAGGAACGGGAGATGAGGAGAGGGACGGAGGAGGGGGGGGCAAGCTAGGTGCGCTCGCGTCATATCTGACGTCCCACCCCTCCCTCCCATCCCTTACCATGGCGTAGATATCCTCTCTAGTCGCACGGTCGGATGTCGAGCAGGGCAATGATCGCGAGAGGGTACTCGATGCATGGTAGACCACTGCATGGCATGGCGTAGAAGAGCACGGCAGAGCGTAGCATGCCATAGCATGGCGTGGCACTGCGCAGTGAGGCATTGCATCACAAAGCATTGCACCGCAAAGCATGGCATCGCACAGCGGCGCAGAACACAAAACCGCACAGCATGTCATGGCATGGCGCCTAGTTCCTTGGAGGGTAGGTGGATCGTCTTCGAAAGGTCTGGGCAGGTCTGGAATCATGGCTCCATGTCTAGCCCCTTGGGCTCCCGAAAAGCTCCACGCAAGGCGGGGCTGATAGAGGGCACCCGCTGGCTCTGCTGTCAACATCGGCTTCTCAAAGCAGAAACGGGGTTCCCGCTTGATGCTTCCTGAAAACGACGACGCCCAAAAGTTGGGGGGGGGGGGCTTCTGCGGCCCAGAAAACCAACGAATCGACACTGGATGTGTAATTACTTCTGATGGTTTTGTCGGGGGGGGAATTTCTAGATTCTAGGGCTGATTTGGAAGGAAGGCCAACGCTGCAGCGGGAGCACGATTCGGAACGAGCGGAAGCGCGGAAATGATGACAGCGCTGCAGTGGGAGCACGATTCGGAACGAGCGGAAGCCCGAAAATGCGGCCAGCGCTTCAGTAGGAGCAACATTTTAAGGAAACAAAAGAACAAGCGAAAACCCAACTCCCGGGAATCCTGTGTGTAAAGAACAGTGCGCAGAGGGGAGGCGGATATCTTCCGAACGTCATCAGGGGAGAGAGGAGAGTAGTATTCATATTGTGTAATTGTGGAGGGGGGGCGGGGGGAGGGCGAAGGAGGAGGCAGAAGGGAGGAGGAAGACTTCCAGCCGCTGGCCGGAGCCCGACCGTCAAAACAAGCTTGTGCGTGGCAGAGCGGGCTGGCAGATGCGAAGCTTCACACCTCAAACGCTCCCAATCGCGACGGTGGAATCAACACTGCGCTCCTCGTCCTCCTCCTCCTCCTCCTCCTCCTCCTCCTCCTCCTCCTCCTGCTCCTCCTCGTCCTCCTGCTCCTCCTCCTCAGCGTCCTCGTCCTCGTCCTCCTCCTCCTGCTCCTCCTCCTCCTCCTCCTCATCATCATCAGCAGCAGCAGCAGCCATCATCATCATCATCATCATCATCACCACCACCACCACCACCACCATCATCATCATCATCATCATCAGCATCATCATCATCCTGCTCCTCCTCCACTTCCTCTTCCTCTTCCTTTCCCTTTTCCTCCTCCTCCTCCTCCTCCTCCTTCTCCATCCTCCATTTTCTCTTCCTTTTCCTCTTCCTCCTCCTCCTCCTCTTCCTCGGCCTCCTCCTCCGCCTCCTCCTCCCTCCTCCTTCATCCTCCGGAGGAAGAAGAGTGAAAGTCCCATGAGGAGTCCCGGTCAGGACCTACGCCTCGCGCAATCGCTGGATGCCGAGTGTATGAAAACCAACCGCGGCAGGGGCAGCAACGTAAATGTGAGGGAAGCGCCGCTCTCTCCTTTCATGGCGTGAGAGCAGACAACATAGAGAGCGGACGACATAGTCGAGCGACTGCTGACCCTGATGCGCCGGTTCCCTTCTAAGGCCCAAACGAACTAAAACATCACCAGCGAGCGGCCGCTGAGGGTCAGCAACAAGCTCAAGAGATCACAAACCAATAAGTGATGGATGCAGTCAGCACAGACAGGACAACCCAGGAAACAAGCTTTGGAGTTCAGGACCACGTGCATACTTTTGCTCACGGTCAATCTGGAGGAGAAGGGAGGAGGAGGGGGGAAGAGGAGGAGGAGCCGGAGGAGGAGGAGAAAGAGGATGATGAGGAGGAGGAGAAGGAGGAGGAGAAGGAGGAGGAGGAGGAGGAGGAGGAGGAGGAGGAGGAGGAGGGGCGGGCCGAAGGCGGGGTGGGGCAGCCAGCGCGCCAGCAGCGCACAACAAGGCCCTCGTCCGCCACGGCCCTGAACCAAACGGCTTGAGCCACGGGGACGGTGAGGCGGGGCGACGGCGGGGGGAAGGAGGGGACAGGGGGGAAGGAGATGTGAGGCGGGGGGGGGGGGAACGGAGGTGGAGGAGGAGGAGCGCAAGTAGCATGAGGCGCAGCAGGTGCCGATCTCATCTACATGCTGATGGCAGCTTGAGCTGCGCGCAGTAAGTGAACGTATGATGAGGGAGATTGGGGTGGGGATGCAGCGTGCCGTACTTTGTTATAAAAGTGAAATGACAGCACCGTGTATGCATGGGCACTCTCTCGCTCGAACTGGGAAGTATACAATGACGGGAGAGCGAGCCCGATGCGGATGACGGGGTCGGAGGGGAGAGGGGAGCGGACGAGGGACATGAAGCCAAGGAGGCGGGGGCAAGTGAGGTAGTGAGGAAAAGAATCCGGACAATGAGGGCATCCGAAAAGGCAGTTGGCAGGCGCCTCGACCTTGACTCTGTGTGTGGTCGTCCAACCGCCCACTATGGTTTTGATGCGTGCCCAGACCCACGCTGGCCTCGAATTCATGAAAATCGCTTTCAGCTCCGGCCAGGTCTGCTGGAGCTCACGGAGCTCTGGCGCAGCTAATTCACCAACCCATTTTTCAAACCGCCTCCGCAAGAGGCTGGGCATGGTGTCGGGGTAGAGGGAGGTGACGAGGGAGGAGAGGTACAGACTCTGGGGCCGTGCTCGGCGCTGCTCGGCAGCGGCAGCAGCGCATCCTTGGGTCGCTGCCTGACTTGCCGTGCATAGGCGCGACCGTGACATTTTATGCCACGGTATGCTGTCTAATGCTTCGGCCCACCTCTGTACTATGGCCTGTGGCTCCTTCCATAATGGTCCAGACCACTCGCCGCGGATAATCGCGACAACTTCACGGCAGTTTTCCGCGCTGGTTCGCAACTGTTCGATCCAGGGGCCCCATTCTTGCACCGTAAAGCCACCCGTGCGCCACAGGTGAGCCTGGCACCAGGGCGCAAGCGGTTTATGGCGCCCTCCCGGGACCCAGCCACACAACGAGTGAAGCGTAGGGCCATCGAATGAATTCGGAGGGAGGCGCAAAACACGATGCAATAAGAGGCGTTCACGATCAAGCATGGACTGGAGAGGGCGGAAAAACTGGGCCAGAAATGATAGCACTGACAAGGCTTGGGTGGAGTAGGAGCGGAGGGAGGCATCAGAGGGGGCACGAGTGGTGGGGATAATGTAGTCTCGCTCTAGCCATTTCTGCTCGGCCGATTTCCATTGATCGAGGTTGGTGGCTCCTGGGCCAATTTGGACCCCCAGGTACCGGGCGAAACCGAAAACTTTAAATCTCGACCACTCTGGAATCAGCCGTAGCAGCTGCGATTCGATCTCTAGGCGCACGTCCGGAGAGACCTCGCACCATAATGGCACGAGCACTGTTTTCGCGGCTTGCAAATGCAATGCCGCTAGCCGCTCAGAGGCCTCGAAAACGGGGCGCACGCTCAGGAGGTGCTCGAATCTCTTCAGCATGGCCCCGACGTCGTCCGCGCATGCTCCGGCGTCGCCCTTGCCGGTGGCGACGATCTCACGATGTAGGTGCCGCAGTATGGGGTCCATTGCCATCGCCCATAAAGTTCCCGACAACGGGCAACCTTGGGCGACGCCGCCTGTGGCCCAGAACATCGGCACGTGGAGGTGCCCAATGCGGCTGAAGACCAAGCCGTTCTCGTAGAGCGACATGATGGCGTTGATGTACCCGTCAGGCAAGAGGAATCGTCGGAGGACTCTCCAAAGCCACCCCCGCGCCAGCGAAGGGAAGGCCGCCTTCACGTCGAAGCTGATGAAGCATGGCTTGGCCTCGACCGCATCCAACTGGTTCGAAGCGATGCGCGATTGGGCGTCCAGCCGTGCAACATGCTGGATAAACTGGCGCTGCGGGATGAAGCCCTGCTGGATGACGTGGACTTCCTGCTGCGCCACGGTCTTCAGCTTCAAATTGATCGTGGCCGCAAGGAGCTTGCTGTCCGTGTTCTTGAGCAGGAGCGGTCGTAGCGCATGTGGATGCCGAAGTATTTCAACGCGGTCCTCGAACTCGTTGCCTTTCGGCAACATCACCAAATCTCCATAATTGAGACCAGGTGGCACCGGGTGGCCGGCAAAGATGTGCAGCAGCATGCCGAACAAGCACTCGACGAACTTATCATTGGCCTGCCACGCCGAATACGGCAGTCGATCTGGGCCAGGCGCAGAATCTGATACGCGTGCTAGCACCCGCCGCATGTCTGATATGGAAGGGATGTCGATGTTGGGCGAGGCGCGGGCAGGCATGTGCTCATCCAGATAGCGATCAATTGCGTCCTCATCGACGCGGGTGTCCCTGAAGATCGGTTCCCAATGTGCTGCAATGGCCTGGATGATGTCCTCCGGCCGCCGAGCGATGCCCGCCTCGTCGGGATGGGAATGCGCGGCATGCGGATCTTGCTGAGGGTCGTGAGGTTGATTCTGTGGCCTTGTTCGGCCCCCGGGCGGCGCCGGCAGGTCACCGTCGTAACGCGGGTCTTGCTGGAGGTCGCGAGGTGGACTCGGTGACCTTTTTGGCCCGCCGGGGGGCGCCGGGAGGTCACCGGAGCAATGCGGATCTTGCTGGAGACCGCCAGGTTGAGCCATGCGAACTCCTGACAATACGAGTCGTCGACGTTGCGGCGCCCACATCATGGCGCGTCGCTGGGCCGCTCGAGCGATCTTCCTAGCCGAACTTGCAGACAGACGCTGCTCTCCGACTCCATGCTGCTGCCGGCGCTGTAGGCGCTCTGCCGCCTGCGCCTGCTGCCGCTCGGCCCAAGCGATGTTCAGCATGCCGGTGTAGTGCTCGAAGTCCTGCTGGTCTGTGAGCGTGATCCTCGGTGTGAGCTCATCGTCGGTCTCGCTGATCATCAAGTATTTCCGCCCGAGCTGCGTGGTGGCCACCAGCCTGGAAGCCAGGCGCGCGTCCTGTAGCCAGACGCATCGTGGTGGAGGAGGAGGAGGAGGAGGTGGTGGTTCAAGGAGTATCTTGGCGCCAGGAGCATGTTTTGCTGAAGACGTGGGAGGAGAAGGGAGGGGAGAAGGGGGGAAGGACAGTGGAAGGGGGGGAAGGAGGAGGGGGGCAGAGCGGGGAGGGAGCTGGGGCTGGGGGTTGGGGCAACTTGGGCGCCCGCCCGCTGGCCAACGCGGCCGAGGCATGGGTGGGAACATGCCCGTCTCCCCGACCAACCTTTCGGAGCCACAGGAGCGGCGGCCAGAGAGGCGGCGCTCGAGGGGTATCTACTCCTCGTCGCCCTCCTCCTTGTCCCCCTCCTACTCCCCGACGGAGGGTTGGAAGAGGGGACAGGGGGATAAAGAAGGAAGAAAGAAAGGCAATGACAATCCGGAATCGTAAGGTAACCCCACTCACAGGATGACCTCTTCGAGCGAGCACCGTGTGCAGCATTGGCATGTGCCACAAGACTGGCGTGAAGCCGCACTGGCCCAGAAGCGATTCAGTCTCGGGTGCCATGGCGTGCGTGGGTGTGCGTGCGTGTGCGCGTGCGTGTGCGTGTGCGCGTGCGCGTGCGTGTGCGTGTGCGTGTGCGTGTGCGTGTGCGTGTGCGTGTGCGCGCGTGTGTGTGTGTGTGTTGTGCGTGTGCGTGTGCGTGTGCGTGTGCGTGTGTGCGTGTGCATGTGCATGTGCGTGCGCGCGTGCGCGAGCGCTTGCGCGTACGCGTGCGCGTGCCCGTGCCCGTGCGCGTGCGCGTGCGCGTGCGCGTGCGTGCGCGTGGCGTGCGTGTGTGCGTGTTCGTGTGCATGTGCGTGCGCGTGTGCATGTGCGTGTGCGTGTGCGTGTGCGTGTGCGCGTGTGGGTGTGGGTGCGGGTGTGTGGATGTGCAAGTGCGTGTGTAAGTGTAAATGTGTGCATGTGTGGTGTGTTGGTTGTGTGCTGTGCTTGTTGTGTGTGTGTTGTGTTATGTGCTGTGTGTTGCGTGTTGTGTTGTGTGTTGTGTGCTGTGTGTTGTGCGTGTGGGTATGTGTGTGCGTGTGTGCGTGCACAGGTGTGCACCAGCAGCGAGAGCATCAACACAGGGGGCATACGTTGCACGGCTATCAGTGGGATGAGCATAAGAATCATATGCGACATAAATGCTGGGAAAAAGGGCTACATCTGCTTGAGACACCGTGCCGTGAACACAACTTGCGCGACTGACGGTAGCATGTGCAGCGGGATAGTGCCGACGAGCATGCTCATTAGAGTCGTTGGTGTCGCTGTTGATGCCTTGATGGTTGGGAATGGCAATGGACCTTTTTGTTGATAGGCTGCCACAACTTGAATCGTTTGAAATTGCGGGTTGTCTCCCGCGGTGGTGGCGGTGCAACGTGGCGTGGCAACCAGGTGACCCGTGTTGTGCTCTGCGCAGTGCCAGATATCTCGCACGGCGTGCATTCGAGATTGTAATACTGCGTGCCTTGGCATGTTCGGCCACTAGTGTCATCATCCGCTCCAGGAAATACGACAAATATCTCCACGCATCTCCACGTTGGGATTGTTGTTTGGAATGCGGTCTGCAAAGTCTGGTGGAAGCTGTAAGAGGTGTTGGAATATGTGCCTGTGCATATCGACCTCTTGACGAAGCCTGTCTTGTTCTCGTACAGGCGTGCGAATAGCATTATCAGCACTCAGGGCAGCAGTTCGTGGTGCCGCGGCACGAACTGCTGCAGGTGACCGTAGATGGTAATGGCTGGAATCGGCCGCTTGTCGAGAAAAGACTGTCGGAAAAAAAGTGATAGTAGGATGTTGCAGGGTGGGGTATGTGGAGGGGAGGCATAGCTTGAGCCAACATGTCTAGGTGTATAGGCAGGAAGAGGGAGCAGGGAAAAGTGAGGAGAAACAGGGCAGGAGGAGGAAGGGACGGACGAGTGCGGAAGAAGAGAGGAGGGAGAAGAATCGGGCGTCGTCCTTGGGAGACCTATATGTAAACTGCTGCGTGGGAACTGCCCGCCCCGTCCCCCAGCGACCGTAGAAGCGCTCGGCGTTCTCCTGCATGAGAACCTCCGCCCTGGCACGGTACCGATCCAGCAACGTCGTGTTGGCCAGCAGCCCCTTCTCCTGAGAGAGCCGTTCGAGAGTTTGGGGATGTGTTCGGAGATGTTCGATTAAGTTTAGGAGTCTTGAGACACCTTCGAAAGTGTTCGGGTGGTTCTGGGAAGAGGAGGAGGAGGACGACGAGGAGGAGGACAAGGACGAGGACGAGGACGAGGAGGAAGGAGGAGCGACAAGGGGGAGGGGTCGAGGAGGGGTCGAGGAGGGAGAGGAGGACGAAGAGAGAGCAGGAATCAAGAGGAGGAGGAGGAGGAGGAGGAGGAAGAGGAGCGGAGAGGAGCGACGAGGAGCGACGAGGAGGAGGGGACGAGGAGGAGGGGCCGAAGGGGTTGGGGGGGTAAGGAGGTGGAGATTTTGTCGAGGAGAGGGGGCGGCAGCAGGAGCAGTCGAGGAGAAGCACGGGGGGGGGCGTCTCGGGGCGCGACCTCGCCCCCCTCCCCGATCCTGTCTTCCTGGATCCTCAACCCTCGATCCTCGAACCTCAGTCCTCCTCCCTCGATCCTCGATCCTCGATCCTCGATACTCCTCCCTCGATCCTAGATCATCGGTCTTCAATCCTCGAACCGCATGGTTTGTGTCTATCGCTCTCTCTCTCTCTCTCTCTCTCTCCCTTTCCACCCATCCATGTATTCATGTGTTTCATCGTGTCCCCTGCCTGATCCTCTCCATGCTGCTGGGATTGATCACTGCTCTTTCGTTCGTTCGCCTCAACTGTTTGGAACGAGCCTGGTACCCGAACCGCGCTCACAATGCTAAGCTCGGCGGTTTCCATTACGGAATTCCAGATTCAGCGTGCGATAGGGCTTGATTCAAGAAGGCCGCAAGTTGGGACTCTATCACATCTCTGCTTGTACCGGCTACACCGTGGCAACGGGAAGTGGAGGTTCGCGCGCAGTGCCTAGAGCCGTGCACGTACATATCGTCCAGATGCGTGGTGGAGTGGAGTGAAGCAACACCACAACATCGAGCTGAACATCTCTTTCCATCTTCCGTCCCTGCTCTGGTGTTGATCATCACCATGTCCAGGAACATCTCGAGCGTGCTGGAGCAGGGCGAGATACTTTGCGCCATCTCGAGTTCCGTTGACCAACGTAAGGTACCATGGATCAGAGCGCCCGTGGAGTCCAGTCGCCAAGTGTACACGCTCATGGGACCGCGCCTATGGCTACTCGAGAAGCAATGGCGGAAGTTCCAGGTGGAGATGGAGGTGCGGGACATGCATACGCACGACTGGCCGCAGGCTGGCCTCGACATCTACGGCAGACCAGATTGGGGCAACGGGAGTTCCACGAGCCTGAGCTCGAGCCCGAGCTCCCCAAGGCCTTGGAGCCGCTGGGGCTCGAGGCCGAGGATGCGGAGCTGGAGCTCTGCAGCAGATTCATGATCCCCTTTCCAGTATCCCAACAACAAGCACTGGAGCAAGTTTGATCAGCCTGTCGAAACAGGCACGCTCATCGATGGGAACAGTCGAGGCTCAACTTCGCTCGTGGCTCTGGGGAAGGCGAGATCACCGCCACATTAGAGCATTCACAACTACCTACCTTGCCAGAGACCTATGCCGTACAGACCTTTCAGAGGACCAGCCCTTTGGAGTACGATTGGGCACGCACTCATCCTGTCGGCAACGTCAGGTTTAAAGCACGAGCTCAGGTCTCCATCGCCGAGGAAATGGGCATGCAAACTGTTGCAATTTCTTCCGCCAGAATGGCAGCGTGACATCTTCAGCTGGGACGAGCCGATAGTCCACCTTACCCTGCTGAGGCTCTTGGGCGGAGATACGTCGCCCCATGTCTCAGTGGCACATGTGCTAGGATCCGATTCGACGATCTACATAGGAAAAGCTCGGCTGCGCTCTGGAAATGTATCTGTTCTCCCGGGCGCATCCAGGAACATATTCAGACTCTTCTTCACCCGCGGGTTCGCCCACGGAACAGTCCCCGCTATAGAGCCCATCGTCGATCAGGTGGTTCAATACTTTTCTACCCGCGGCCTGGGAACCGGCAGAAGCAGCAACCTTTCACTTTGAGACGCTTGACATCCGTAGCTTTGCTCCAAGTGCCAGCAAGGCTGACGCCAAGGAATCAGAGATGGTGAGCCTCCGCCGTGGAATGGGAACCCTGCATGTTCCGACAAAGAAGAACCTCAACGGCTAGGACTACTCTTGGCGTTTGTTTTGCAGCGAAGTGGCGACCACTACCCACAGTATCCTTCATGCCTCGGATGGAGCTTGGTGCCATCCTATTTCGAGCTGCGGAGCTGGCGCATGAGTTCCTGGGCAACTTCAACAGTCCGCGTGGCACGCATGCATGTTTATATGCATCTCCGTGCCCTCGGCCTCCCCACGACACGTCGGCCGCATCCAACACTTCCTTCTGAATGTCAAACCCGAGGACTCCAAACAGTTTAAGGCAAGTCTATCCGCAAGATGAGCTTTGTGAACCAGCTCGTGCATGGCATTATGGTGGGTTTCGAGTTTCCTTCAGGGCATGCCGAGTGTGGAAGGACCATGTCTCGGCCAGTCGTTTCTGCGCTTCATGTTCCTCATAGTGTTTACCAGCGTCAGTATCGAACTCGCAGTTCCTCTCTGGACCTCTTAAGTCCGCCGACCCTGTCGGCGTGTGACAGGGGCCCTCCTCGATGGGCCGAACTAGAAGATATCTAAGATAGGACAATGCTTCCAAAACCCGCCTCACAGACCTCGCCCCCATGTGAGTTCCCGACCGTGAAGAGCAAGCGTTTTTTGCACCAGGTGGCACCAGATGCTGTGCCAAGCCAGGGCACAGTTGTATGCGCAGGATTGTCAATTCGGCAGGAGCTCCAGGTACCACAGGGCATCGCTTCGTGGGCCGAGCTACGCGGCATCTTATTCGCGCAAGTGCAGTGTCGTGTGAAGTGTTTGAAATGGCAGACACCTCAGCTGAGATAAAGGCGATGCTTCACGCCCTAGATCCCCCAGCCAACGATGTGTGCGTCAGGTGTTACGCCCATCTCCCGTGCATCTCTGTGGTAGTAGCGGATGCTGACCAGGCGTACGAACAGTGCAATGCGACTTGTGTTGGAAAAGCATGGCAGTATATCAAAAGAGAGTCGTAAACGAATTGGTTCAGATGCAGCGTTGGTGTCGGGCTCCGACCTCATGGTTCCGAAGAATGAGACACGCATATGGTTACTAACAGGATGCACGGAACGACGACCAAAAACCAACATCCTCCCGTGGCCAGGCAAGCCCCCGAGGGGCTTCAACCATGTGGTCTCGCTTGTAACTGGAAGGCTTGCACGAGCCCAATTCCTGAACTCTTGCCCCCTCATGATCACCCTGTCCTGGATCCTGGAGCTGGCCCTCGAGCTGTTCGTCCTAGGATATCCTGCATCCCTAGTCGTAGCCACAGTGCGTGCATGCCCCTGGTCAATTGCCATACAAGGCTCGAGCGATACTACAGAGCTGGCACCGCTACCACGTCAAGCCTCGAGGGATGCCGCCCGCAGGTTACCGTCATCAACCGTGGGTGAAGACGGGAGGTGGCAACTATGCCCGTGGAGGAGGCTACCAGGACCGCTATGACGCAGACAAAGACCGAGATCAGGATGGTGAATGGGACGACTACCGCCGTCACAGCGCCCGTCGACCGAGCCCCGACCGTCGTGGCGACCGTGACCCCCGTGGGGACTGTGACCAAGATCGTGATCGGCGGAACTTCCATGAAGTTCGATATGTGAGAGACTACCGAGAGGATCGTGACACACGTGACTCGCGAGGTCGCGATTCGGACAAGGATCGGGACGACAGGGGGCGGAACGGTTCTCGCCGCTCAAGGTCGACCTCACGGCGTCGCAAGCCTCCGCGGGGAGCTCGAGAAGGTTGGCCCAAAGTACCAGGGCCGAGGTGGCCTTGCGCGAACAAGGCGAGTATGTTGCGTAGGCGATGAAGTCATGCTTTAGTGACAAACGTCGCAGCTCATGGACTCCAGTGCCTCTTCTCCCAAGGGCAACGCAGACCGTGAGGTCAGCCCCACACCGGTGGCAGAGGCGCCCGACAAGAAGACGACCATCACTCGCCCCGAGGTGGGGTGAAGATCCCGTCCAAGATCACGAAGGAGGCAGCGGCAAAAGTCTTGGAGAAAAAGGTCAACGACAAATCAACGGTAGGAATGATCAACAAGTGTAGCCAGGCGCATTCCCCGAAGAAAGCAGTTCTCACATCCAAATCTCAGCGGGTTCAGCTATTCTGGGCATTATCAATGGCAGCGCAATCTGAAGTTCAGGATCTCTCCATCAAGATATGGAGTATGCTTGTGACGAGTCGTGGGGTGAACTTGTCGATAGAGACCCGATGTGCCTAGTGAGTTTCGTGTATGCTTCCACTCTTGGTTTCATTGCAGCACCTTTAGTCTGGTTGTGCATCCCCGCCAGTGACTGGGGCATGGTCCACGTTGCGCAAGCGTACATCACCCTGCAATGGACCCGTGTGAGAAAGGCAGGTCTGCTCCAGCGCCTGGCAGATGCATGCCACTTACCTTCCAGTTTCACAAATAAGAGAGAACATATGGTCATGCGTCATGTTCTGACAGGCCTTGTTGGGGCCGCGGTGCCCATCTTGATGGGCAGATCCCCCTCCATCCCCCTGTTCCACCTCCTCCACATGTCACAGCAGAGTAGCAGCCAGCAGATCCGTTCGCACCGGCAGCGCCTGGCCCATGATTTTCTGGAGTGGGAACGTGGGGAGATCACCCAGCACCGCTCACAATTCTGATCTCTGGAGTACGCCTGTGAACCAGTTCGGTATTCCCTCTCGTTTTCCCTACTTGAACACCCCAACCATACTGACTCTCATCACCTTCTCCCCTCTCTTCCCCTAGACCTTCCGTGTGAGTGCCAGTCCGTGGTTTATGCCCTGCCCAGGACAACCGTGCACAGGAAGCTTGACTATTTGAAAAGAGTCGAGCGAGCCAATGTTGTGGTTCGCCCACCTCCGTCCCGAGGTATCGGCACTGGTCCATCCCACGGACATGGCAGCTGTTTGAGATTTGAGATTCGGGATCTCTCTCTCTCTCTCTCTTTCCACCACCCATGGATTCATGTGTTCCATCTTATCCCCTGTATGATCATATCCATGCTGCTCAGTTTGCTCGCTCGTTCTTTAGCCTCGGCTGTTTGGAGCAAGCCTAGTACCCAGACCGCGTTCGCAGTGCTAGGCTCGGCGTGCGATAGGGCTTGACTCACGAAGATCGCAGGTTGGGATGTCTCTCTCTCTCTCTCTCTCTCTCTCTCTCTCTCTCTCTGGGGGGCAAAGGGCAACGACGGTGCCCGAGGGCCACAGGGCCGTTTGCCCCCCACACACCCCTCCACCCACCCTCCACCCCCGAGGCGGTGCGAATACCAGGCATCGCTTGCAGCTGGAAGGCCAAGCGGGCCAAATCCCAGAATCCAACACGACCTGAAATCGGCTTTCAAAAGAGACGTAGATCCTCCTCCTCCTCCTCCTCCTCCTGCTCCTCCGTCTCCTCCTCCTCCTCCTCCTCCTCCTCCTCATCCTCCTCCTCCTCCTCCTCCTCTTCCTCCTCCTCCTCATTATCTTAGTCCTCTTTTCCTTATCCGTATAGGTAACTTCTCCCTGTCGCACCCCCAAACCATGTTTAGGGCGGGCTGGGCGTTTCGCCTGACACTTCCTCATCAGCTATGACTCTGAAGCTTTAAAATTGGCAACAGCTTCACCGATGGAGGGCGGGTGGCTTCAAAATGTGGCTCTCGCCTTGGCGCGGCGCACAGTCGTTCTAAAAAGGTGCAAGAGCTTCACGGATTGAGGGCGGGTGGTTTTCGAAATGTGGCTCTCGCCTTGGCGCGGCGCACATCCATTGTAAACAATTGCAAGACCTTCGCGAATTGAGGGCGGGTGGTGTTCAAGATGTGGCTCTCGCCCTTAGCGCGGCGCACATTCGTTTTAAAAGTGTGCAAGGATTTCACGGGTTGAGGGCGGGTGGTTTTCGAAATGTGGCTCTCGCCTTAGCGCGGCGCACATTCGTTATTAAAATGCAAGAGCTTCACGAATTGAGGGCGGGTGGTTTTCAAATGTGGCTCTCGCCTTAGCGCGGCGCACATTCTTGTTAAACAGTTTCAAAAGTTTCACGGCTTGAAACTGGTTCCTTTTCAAAATGTGGCTCGCGCCCTTAGCGCCGCGCACATTCGCTCTCAAAACTTGCAAGAGCTTCAAGGATTCAGGATTATGCGGGTGCAACAGTTACGTTGATTCTAGGTGTTGAAGTCCAAGGAATGGCGTTCTGGCACGATTCAGGATCGTCAAAACGCAACAGTCAGGTTGATCCGTGGCGTTTGAATCCCCCGAAAAATGTTTTGGCATGCCTCAGGGTCTTCAAACGGGTGTCTTCCAACGAAGCAGTTCCATCAATGGACATGAACCGTTGTAGTGGCCTATGAAGAAGGAGCTTGGAGGGAGGGTTTACTCAAACATCGTTGATGACTCTTGGGTTTACACTGGTCCTCCTCCTCCTCCTCCTCCTCCTCCTCCTCCTCCTCCTCCTGCTCCTGCTCTTGCTCTGCTTAGCCGCCACATCGTTTCGCGCATTTTCGTGTGTGGCTGCTTGAGCGCGTTGTTCTGCCCACGCTCCTGACGGCGCGTGGCTTGCTGCCCACGCACTGGACGGCATATGAATTTCCAGCCCAGACGCTGGACAGAGCGACTGAGATGCCTCGAGGCGCCCATGAGGCCTCTAAGAGGCCCCCAAGAGGCTCCAAAGAGGCCCTCAAACGGCCCCTAAGAGGCCCCAAGAGGCCGCCACGAGGCCCCCAGATGTATCCCACAAGACTCCAAGAGGCATCCAAGAGGACTCTGGCCAACAACCCAAGCACGGTGACATGGGCCGAAGGCCACTAGATCCACCGCCCCCTGTGGCTTGCCACAGGGGTGCACGGCGTGCCAGATTTTGGGTCAGAAAAATGATCTCACGGCGGCCGCGATGGCCCAAGATGGCCGCCAAGATGCCTCCAAGACTGCCAAGGTGGCCCAAGATGACCTCCAAGACGATCCCAAGACGCCTCTAAGATGGCCAAGATGGCCCCAAGACGGCCTCTGAAGGCCAAGAGGCCTTTTCGACGCCCCAAGGGGGCTCCAAGAGGACCTCCAGGAGGCCAAAGGTGTTTCAGTGATCCCAGCGTTCTCGCCTTTTCCGGCATCCGACGCTCCAAGATGGACCCATAAGCCCCCAAGATCGCCCCGAGACGGCCCAAGAGGTCCCCAAGAGGCCCGCAAGACAGCCCAAGAGGGCCCGCAAGACGGCCCAAGAGGGCCCCCAAGACGGCCTCCAAACGGCCCGAGAGACCCCCAAGACGGCCACAAAGCGCCCGAAGAGGGACCCAAGACTGCCCAGGGACGGCTCAAGACGGCCCTCTGAAGTCTAAGAGACCCCTTAGACGCCCCAAGGGGACCTCCAGGAGGCCAAAATCCTTGATAGGCTTTCGTGTTTCAATGATTTTTGCGTTACCGCCTTTTCGGGCTTCCGGCGCTCCAAGATGGGACCATGGGCCCCCACGATCGCCCCAAGACTGCCAAACAGGCCCCCAAGAGGCCCGCAAGACAGCCCAAGGGACACCCAAGACGGCTCCAGAGACCTCAAAGCCGGCCCTGAAGTGGCCCCCAAGACGGCCTCTACTAAAGGCCAAGAGGTGCCCCTTAAGACGTCCCCGATGAGGCCCCAGGAGAATCCTAAGAGGCCCCAGGAGGCCCCCAAAGGCTCCCAGGAAGCCCCCAGGAGGCCTCAAGAGGCCTCCTCCTCCCCTTTTCCTCCTCCTCCTCCTCCTCCTCCTCCTCCTCCTCCTCCTCCTCCTCCTCCTCCATCTCCTCCTCCTCCTTTCTCTTCCTCTCACCAGTGCTCCACCAAGGGGTTCCACAACGTCTGGGGGAACTCATAGTCCAATAGCGTGGCCAGATTTCGGCCCAACGTTTGGCCGCATGAGCGTTTCCAAAAGGCAGAAGGCGGCGGTGGTTCGCCGCAGGCAACTTAGATCCGCCACCGTGCCGCCAGGCGCAAGGTGGAATTTTCTCCAGGCTCTCATGTGTTATCTGTTCTCTGTACTCAGGACTCTGGGATTTTAGTATCATACGGGCTGGAGCCCGCAATTCCCAAATTCCCAAGGGGGTCCCGCGCGATCCTGGGCTGCCCCGCGTGATTTGTCCAGAGGCCAGAGGGCTCCAAGACGGGCCAGGAGGGCCCCAGAAAGCGCCCAAGCGGGTCCAAGAGGCCTCCAAGACAGCCCAAGAGCGCCCCAAGACGCCCAAGACGGCCCCAAGACGGCCCAAGAGAACCAAAAGAAGCCCCATGAGCGCTCTCAGAGGACCCCCTAGAGGGCCCATAGAGGCAAAAATCATTGATGTTCCTTGTGTGTGCGTGTTCGATGTTTTCCGCGTTCTCGCGTTTTCGGGCTTCCGACGCTTCAGGATGGCCCCAGAGGCCCCCAAGACTGCCCCAAGACAGCTCAAGAGGCCCCCAGGAGGGCCCCAAGACGGTCCAAGAGGGCCCCAAAACGGCCCAAGAGGCGCCCAAGATCGCCCAAGAGGGCCATAAGACAGTCCCAAAGGGGCGGGGAACACGAACCAACAAGTCGAGCATTCAGCCCCAAGAGGCCCCCATGAGGCCCCACAAGGCCCCCAAGAGAGTCCAAGAGGCCCCCTAGAGGCCCCACAAGGCCCCCAAGAGGCCCAAAAAGAAGCCCCAAGAGGCCCCCAAACGGCCCCCAAGAGGCCTCAAAGCTGCCTCCAGGAGGCCCCCGAGAGGCCTCCTGCGATACCCAAACGAGCATCCAAGAGGCCTCAACCCAAAGCCCAGGCACAGTGGCGGGATGGGCCATAGGCCACTTGCACCACATACTACATTGCACCCCAAATATTGCAGCGGATAGACTGCACTGTACAGATTGCACAACATAGCTTGCACCCAATGGATTGCACCACATAGACCACACATCCAGAATGCAAGGACTCACTGTCGGGGGTCCACGCTGGCAAACATGCGATAATCAATCCAACTCCGATCACCCCCTGCTGTTGCCCATCGCCGCCTAGATTCACATGCGCTGGGCAGGCAGCATCTCCATACAAGGTTCGATTCCACAGACAGTGACCATCAGCGTCCCCCACTTCCATGCGACCTCGTCCTCCTCCTCGTCGTCCTCCTCGTCTTCATCTTTTTCTTCCTTTCGCGGGTCCTGCACAGAGAACGTCCAATGGGCGACGATCGCACGCCCGAGCGCCGCCGCGTGCTGTTGTCGGCGCTTGGGGTGCAGCGTGCTCAACTGGCGGGCGGGGAATGGGACCATGACACACGGCTCGTGCCAGAAGCAAGAAGTCGCACAACAATGAAGTCAGGGGTGCGTGAGGGGAGGGAGAGCGACCTCCCGCTGCCTAAAGAAGCGCGAGGGCCCGTTGTCACACAAGCACGGCATTGGGAGGACAAGGAAGAAGAGGAACAAGAGACGCATTCGCCTCAATACCTTTTGCACCAAGTCGTTGTCACTAAGTTCGATAAAAAAAGGCAAACGGCAGAGTTAGTTCGAAACCGCCACATCCAGCGAGGCTGTGAGCATTTGCGCCTTCCTACGAACACAGCGTCCAGGCTGGCAGCAGCATCACTTCTGATTTCAATCCGAACAACTCTGAGCCACGCATGAGAAACGAACCGCCGGCAGTCGGCGAGCTTTTCAGTTAATCGATACCTGGATTCGTTCGACCAAGGAGCCGAGCCGTCGCGGTGCCGCATGGCTGAAAGCTCGTTCCGCTGGACTTGCCCTCGGCGGCACCGTTGTTCATCATTTCCCTATCTCGTCCTCGACCTCCTCCTCCTCCACCACCATCACATCCTGCCACCACTTGTTCAGTGGTTTTCATGCGATCCTGCTCCTACTACTACTACTACTGCTGCTGCTACTACTACTACTATTACTACTACTACTACTACTACTACTACTACTACTACTACTACTACTACTACTACTACTACTACTACTACTACTACTACTACTACTACTACTACTACTACTACTACTACTACTACTACTACTACTACTACTACTACTACTACTACTACTACTACTACTACTACTACTACTACTACTACTACTACTACTACTACTACTACTACTACTACTACTACTACTACTACTACTACTACTACTACTACTACTACTACTACTACTCGGTCTCGTGCACCACATCACCACGGCTCAACCGCCTTGGGATGAGCGTCCTTGTGGCTGCCTCATTTCCAGTATGTAGCGAGCACCTCTTCTGGGTGAAATGGCGGGTCTGACGTGCATGCAGCGGCGGGCGCTTATCCGAGGGCAGCTGGCCCCTACGGCCCAGAGTAAAGCGACAGCGGCGGCACAGCAGCACACGGGGCGACCCCAGCACCGCCATCGAGGCCAACGAGCGCAAGTAGGCGCGAGAAGAGGCCAGGATGGCAAGCCAAAGTGGCTAGGCGCACAGCGGCGGCACGGCAGCACACGGGGCGACCCCAGCACCGCCAGTGAGGCCAACGAGCGCAAGTAGGCGCGAGAAGAGGCCAGGATGGCAAGCCAAAATGGCTAGGCGCACAGTTGACCGTGCGAAGAGCGAAGGCCTAAGCAACAGGGCCCGCGGCGCGATGGGGGGGCACCACTGCGGGCGCACCCGCGCCAGCTGGCACGGCAGCGCTGCTAAAGCTGGAGCGCAAGCGAGCATACAGGCTCAGCATCCTTGAGAGCGGCAGGCTCGGGATCTTAACAGGGGCTCACGTAGCCTCCCCGAGGGCTTAGAAGTAAACGATGCTGGAGGCCTGCAGAGTCTCAGCGTTCAGGCGGACTGGCCTGTTCCTTGCGCCATGGCCGCGAAGACCTGCGACGGCAGCGCTTGCACCTCCCCCCCGAGGTCACCACTGTCGCCCGCCTGCCCTGGGGGCCCAAAGATCTGGCGCTCGAGATCCTCACCGAGGGCCACGTTCAGGGCGGCGACATTGGGGATCTGCTGCGGGAGCGGGTCAGCCGGCGGCGGCGGCACCGCTGGGGGCGCCGTCAGCGGCGGCGGCGGCGGGGCCATGATGGCCGCTGGCGGGGCTCCAGCAGGCGGCGGCAGCGGGTCCTGGCTGCCGCGGGCCGAGCCAGCGGGGGGGGCACTGGCGGCGCGGACGGGAGCGGCACGCGGGGCGACCCCAATACCACCCCCGCCGCCCGTGAGGCTGCCCTCCCGGAGGTTGTGGCGGCGTTCGTAGGCCGCCAGTTCCCCGCACGCGGTCGCCAGGCGCTGCCTCTCGGCCTTCTTCCGCTGGTTCATGGCGCAGCCCGCCCACTCTGGATCGTTCAGCCCCCAGGCAACCTGCGAGCACAAGTCGGACCACTGGAACTCGGGCAGGTTGTCCCAGGAGAGCCCGCCCATTAGCACGCAGTGGCCCCCCCACTGCGGCTGCTGCGGAGCGTAGCGCGCAAAGACGGTGCCCACCGCCAGCGGCTCGACCTTGGGCAGGTGCTTCAGGAGGTCCACAGCGCCGAGCACCGCCACCCCCTCCTTTCTGAGCTTGTCGTAACGCAGCAGGGCCTTCAAGTCGCGGATATCCTCTTCGGGGAAGTCCGCGTGCATGTAGTACGCGCGGGGCGGGCTCTGCTCTTCCTCTAGCATCTCGACGCAGACGCGTAGGAGGTCGCGTAGCGCGCGCCACAATGGCAGCACCAGCGCTGGCCCGTCTCCCCCGCCCCCTCCTGCGCGCAGGCGAGCAGTCGCGCCCAGCGATCCGAACGGATCACCGAGCAGCATCCCTTGGGATTGTCCCAAGTCTTGTTGGCCGAGCACTTGTAGTACATGTTGAACGTAAAGCCCTTGCCACGGTAGAGCTGGTCCGTGTAGTCGCCCATCCGTCGGCAGGCCTCCTGCGCCACAGCGTTGCCCTGGCACTCCTCCTTCCACGCACGCTTGCGTCCCAGGTGCGCGTCCACGACCCCCGAGGCCTCCAGGAGGCCCTTCTTCAGCCTGCCCACATCATCCTCTGCCTCCTCACTCAGCGCGTCGAGCCACTTCTGAACCCCGTCCTGCGCCGCCGCGCCCATCATCACGTCCTCTTTCTTCTCCAGGATGGGCCCCAGGCCCCCCAGCATGCGGGCGCGCATGGTCTCGAATTTGAGGACACCGCAGGCCCGCGCCATACGCTTCAGCGATTTCTTGGAGAGGCCGAGCCGCAGCAGGGGCTCGACACCCGCGACCTCCTCCACAGTCTCGGCGTCGACCAGCTGGTGCCCCTGGCCCTCAACGTCGTTGTCAAGCAGGGGGTCGCTATCATCGCCGCGGGGAGGGTCTGCGGCGCCAGGTCCATCCTCGAGGGGTGGAGGTGGCGCGCGGGGCGGCCCCGGCACCACCTCCACCGCCATCGGGCGACCGACCTCCTGCGCCACCGTCTCTGTGGCCGGAGGGGCGCCCACGCTCTCGGGATCGATGCCCACCCCGACGCCTTCCGTCGCCCTCCGCAGGGCCAGCAAGCCGTCATTGGAGAGCGCGTAACCCACGAGCATGTCCATGCCCTCCTTGATGTTGTCGAAGCTCGCGCGGAACTTCGCCGCGCGCTTGGCGGCGTGGTCGATGGAGCCAGCTCCCTTGTTCTGGCGCGCTGCGCGCGTCACAGCCTCGTGCTCGGCGATGCCCTGCGCCGCCGCCACGCAGTGCGAGCACGTGTACAGCTTGCATTGGCCTTGAGCACCCTTCCGCAGCTTGGGGCACTGCGGGTTGCGCTCTGAAGCTTCGGTGTAGCGGCGCATTTCACCACAGTTGAGCTCGTCCGCGTACTCCACCATCATGATCTCCCAGTCATCCAGCGCTGCACACGCGACACCAGCCCAGGCGCTGCGACGGGACCCAGTACGCACCCATGCAGTGCACGTAGCCCGCCGCGCGGTAGTCCACGCGTCATCATCTCAGCGTCTTCGAGCTCGACGACCGCGCCGCCGCTCGGCGAGGGGGCTTTGCCGCAGGCAGCCTTGTTGCTGCGACGGCGGTGGCGTTTGCTTCCGTGCCCGCTGAGGGCGCCCGTGGTCGCTGCACTCGGGGCCTCACTGGCGGTCTCATCGCCCATGGGGCGGCAGCCGTCGGCGTCGCTGCGCGCGCCTCGCCCGCCGCGGCCGCTCACAGCCTGCCCCCGCAGCTGGAGGTTGTGGAGCGCGAGGGTGATCGTGTCCAACCCGCGGCGCTGCCCCGCGGTGAAGTCGGAGTAGGTGGCCGCCGCTGCCAGGGCCGCCTTCGTCACTGGCACCACCGCCGACGGGGGCATCGCCGAGGGCTCAGCAGGCGCCTTGGCCGTCGCCGTGGGGGCACCGTCAGAGGCACCGTCAGAGGCAGCGGCACTGGGGGCGGCCCCCGTACCGCAGCCTCCGTCGGCCCCCTCAGCAGGCGTCGCCGACTCCGTGGGCAGTGTCGGCGCCGTCCGAAAGGTCGCCGCCTCCGACATCACGTCGAACCCCTCGCCCGAGATGTCGCTGCTCTCCGACGCGCTCACCTGCTGGCCGGGGCGCGGCGCAGGCCCCGCTTTGGGAGTGGGCGCGTCGGCCGCGGTCGAACCGCTGGCCTTCGCGCGCGCCTCGGACCTCGCCTTAGCCTTCGCCG